CACACTTGCTAATTGGTTGAACAACACATTTATGATCCAGTAGTCAACGAACAGTAGTTCATTTCTTTATCGCGAAATGCCTTAATTTGCTCTGAAGTTTAATTAAACGTTTACTGCTTCCACGAGGGACACCACAGTTAGGCCTAAGAAAACTACTGAGCCCATCAATCCAATCACAGAGGCCAAGATCTTAGCACACGAAACATCGCAACAGGTTTCTTCGCCTGCACCCCATCCAAACAATTTTGCCATGAAACATATTCCCAGCTTCAAGTGTGCTGTAATGCTGCAGGCTTGTAAGACGATGAATTGCCAGTAGGGTTTGGTTTTGATAAATTGCGAATTGTAAATCCAAAACAATATACCGCTTTGAATGTCATCTTTAAGGAAAAGTTCCAGAGCCGATACCCATAATTCAAGTGCGACGAATTTGCGGTTGCATTTCTTGTCACATCCACGATCGCTGAAGATCGAAAATTCACCATCTGAATACTTAGCGGATCGGTAGCTTGCATGGTGAATGCAATACCAGTGGAACTTGATGTAATATCCGTACGCCACGATCATGGTTATGCTGAACAAAGTACCGGTAACACAGCTGATAAAAGAGATCTTACACGCAGTAAGACGGCTGTTTGTCGAACTGTTTGTCGCACTGTTTGTCAAAATTCCAGAAACTGTGTTGTCTTCGAATAGTATATGATAATTTGACCAATCGAAACAAACGTCGCAAACATGATATGCAATCAAACCGATGTAATATATAATCTTCAGCTTGCAGCAGATCATATACATTGTGGATGTTTTCTTGAAACAACAGCGAGTAACAATTTGCCATCCCGTCCTTTAGACAAACCTAGCCCACAAGCCGGATGCGTTGCGTAAACAAGCTCAATTTCGTACCCAGATTCTTTACTCCCTAGCAACGGGTAAAAGCGGAAGAAGCGAAGGCGGAAGGGACGGCAAAATTTTTCGCCAAAAAGCAAGACAAAAGATAAGAACAGAACGACACTGACAAAATTTAGGTAAACATAAAACTACTTTCAGAAAAGGGTCAAAATCAAACTAACGTCAGAGAAAATCTTAACTGAGCGAACAATTGCAACGCCGCAATCATTACCCTCTCACGCAGTCGTTTTCAGGGGAGTCGTATTCACCTCCTCCTCACGACTCCCCTAAAGGCGACTGCGTAGGAGGCTTTAAAGTCATCCGAAGGTGGTGGAAATGCCGGAAGTAGTAACAAAGCGAAGCTAGGACGGCCACTGGCGTTGTGAAAAGCAATGATAGAACATACATTGAACGCTACTGGTGCCGAAACAGGGACTTTGTGAGACGTAATTCAAGCGCAACACCTTGCTGTCTTGAAAATGGCGCAAGTTGAAACGGTCACTTCAATGAACTTCAGGCTTTGCGTCAGTTTTACACTGAGATTATCACCGCTACAATTAGTGACTTGTCTTCTGAACCCACGCAGCCTCTTTCCTCTCTTCTTGAGCAAGTGTGCGGAATATGGAAAAAGAATGCCAATGAAATTATAAATAAAGAGAGAGAGGCTCATCGTGCAACCCCATGGGCCTCAATGTCGTTAGTGGAAAAAAAAGGCTCAGTCTGCGAGAGTAACAAAAGAATACACCCTGGTATTAGTTCTCATATTACAGTTCAAGTTACACTGTGAATTCAAAGACTGGCACACAGCTTAGAAACATAACAGAATTAAAATCACATTTCTAAGAAATCCGTTTCCAGGAAACACTGGAATGTACAACGAGAATATTTTAAACCATTATTGAATTCCATTGCAACCGACCTCGGTAAGTTTTACCTGTACAGCAATATTTCAAGCAATCCACAAAATACCCTACAGTGTACTAATACTAAATGCTTTAAGTACCGAAACAACCATAAAGGAAGTATAATTATTACAGCAGGCCGTCCAAACCTGCCTCAAAAGGTAACTAGCCTGTCAGGCCTGTTTGGTTGAATAGGAACAACGAAAAAAATTGCATAAGAGCCCATGGAATATATACACGTTCTACATTTAGCTCACTTCTTTTGTTGTTTTCGTGTAAACGACAACAAAAACACGGGTTACACTGAGTTCCTTAGAAAACTAAGCTGTTCTAGATGGTTAAATCACAAATAATCATTGCAATCAAATTGTCTCTCACTGTTGTTTAAAGAAAAAAACATGTTGAGACATGATCCTTATTTTACAGTCTTAAAGTCAGTTTTCAGTAAATGAAGTTGATCGAAATCGAATCAGTTAGTCTTTGCTGCGTGAAAGCATTCGGCAACCGAAGTGAAAATGTGTTCTGGAGCTTGAAAACCGTCCGTTCTGGACACAATGGTGAGAACCAGACACATCCCTAAGGCTATGAATCCAATGAAGCAAGCAATGACCTTGAAAATCGCTTTGTCACCCGGATCGCTTTCGTAGTCACGGTTGCAGCAACTCTGTTCAGTATACCACTCAATGAAGTTTTGACATAAACAAGAAGACGACATAACGATAACAAAGATCTCAGACTCAAATACATGTAATCGGAATGCCGGAACACGTAACGAACGTTCACATTGTCTTGTTGTAAGAGATTACAAAGAGCAAACTGCAGCTATCCGCGATATAGGGGACATAGGGGACGCAGCTTTTACCATCATGGCAAATAGGGAGCGACAAGATGGTGAAGATCAGACACACAACTGAACCTAACGTTCCAGTTGAACACGCAAAACACTTGATACATGAATCTTCGTACGCATTTTCTTCGCCTTTGCCACATTCACATAATTTCGCGATGAAGCATACGCATCGCTTAAAGTGCGCAAAGATGCTGCAGGCTGAAAAGATGATGAAATACCGGTGGGGTCGCGATCCCGTCAGATGCGAGGCGTAAATAAGGTACACGATGACACTTTGAATGTCATCCTTGAGCACTAACTCCACAACCGAAAGCCGCAATTCCAGCCTATTGAGACGGAGGTGGTCTTTATAGCAACGTTCAGAATAACCATCGAAGAAGCAATCCCAGTGGAATTTGATGTAATGCCAGTACACCGTCAACATGTAAATGTTGATGATCAAACCGGCAAAAAAAACTGAAGAAAAATAAGATATTACATGTATCGACTTTGAATTCTTCTTTATCGGCGTATGGGCGAACAAAGTCGAACAAAGTCCACCAGTCGAACAAAGTGTCGCAAACCATGTAGAGAATTAAACCAACATAGTAGAAAATCTTCCCTAAGCAGCTTAACTCCATCGCGGATTTTGTACTACCCCGGCATAGAGGAAGTAACATAACCACCATGCGCGAGGTGACAGATAGAATCAACTTCTTACCCAGTCCTTAGACCGTACTTCGACCTCTTGTGGGGCCTGGGAATTAGCGAGGATTTTTTCACTTGTCCCCAGGGAGGAAGGGAGGAAGGAGAATAAGTTATCGTATTTTCTCAATTAAACGCCGGACCCCGATTAAACGCCGGCCTCGTATAAACGCCGGGTCCACGAGGACAATTTTGAAATAAACGCCGGGGGCGTTTAATCGAGGCCCCGGCGTTTGTTCGAGGCCGCGGCGTTTATTTGCGTTCGAACCAACAATTTGATTTTTCCCTTATTAAATAGCACTACTGCGACATACTAATACGCTATGGTGTTTTGATAATCTTAATAAACGTTCAAAAGGAAAAGTCCGGCTTAACATAACAAGAATAGTAGCTGTACAACAAAATAAAACAAAAT